GAATAAGCTCAATGATAAATGGGTCAGCACCAGCTTTCCCCTCCATTGTATGTAGATTTGCTATGGGTAACTTGAATGGTATGAAGAAGACATACACCAGGTTGACATGACCTGGGGAAAGAGATTATACTTTGAATGCAAACAACACGGGCGAAAAAGGAAGAAAGAAAAGGGCACACAAGTGACAAATAACAATAAACATGTGGTATTTGCGCTTCATTGTACACAGTGGGAAATAGGTAAATGGTGATAGATAAAAAGGCTGACTTGATACAGATCAAATCAATAACATAGAGGTATTAGAAAGGAGAAAGAAGATGCAAGAAGCTCATACAGAAGAGCGGAATGCCTAAGGAAGCGAGATCGAATGCCTTTCGGAATGGCAAAAGACCGGTCTAAGAGCGATCAAAATAAACTTGAAAGAACAAAAAGTTATCTCTCATTTCGTCCATCTCTGTTTCAACTAATGCTGCGGCTTGCCATTCCAGAAATCCAAACTGGCTACTACGTCTTCACCTGTTTCATCTTCGTAGGCGTACAGTATCTAGAGATAAATCAGTATAGCTGCATCGGTATGGGTTACTCTTCTTCGACGTACCTCTCCTGTGGAGGAATGCAGCATGCGAATGTTCTTCCCAGTCATGATGTGGATTAGCTCGCTCGTCTCGAAGTGTCTGATTTCTATGAAGTTCGGTTCGAAAGCGAGGATATAAGGGTAAGAGAGTGCGAAGGCATTGGGATTACCCTCCCATGAAATCCTCCAGTCCGGACGAGCACGCCAGCCATTGCGGTTGACAAAGAATGAGAAGTCGCTGTAGTTGAGAAGGAATTCGCCATTCAGTCGTTCGATATGAATGGGTTTAACATTTTCCTTGCGTGCCACGAAGTCTAGGGAAGTGTCGGCTTGATCTAGGAGAGACTGTGTCTCGGTAGTCTCAAGACTAACAACCTCAAAACCGCGGGCACAGCCAACGCAGAGCGTGGAACGGAGAAAATGAATCGAGGAGGATTCGGCGGGGATATAATATTCCTAGAAGTGTTATTAGAATGATATCAGAAGGTATATTGCACTGATTGCAAGGAGTATACGAACTTTGAAGAGTTTTAAGGTGTCTTGACCACTCTGGAACATCTTCAACTTTTTCTTTCCCTTTGTCAAGTTGTCCATGGGCTCGTATACCTTAATAGTAGTTGACAGGGCAGAAGTTTTGACAGAGCAGACCAGATGGCGACCAAGTCCAATACCAGCTTTGAAGAAATTCGCATGGCCTTGAATCTTCTTGGGCCTCTTCGCTGTTGTGTTCTGGCCCTCTCCTATTTCAAGCACTTCCATCGGATAAGAGGACAGGGTTTTGTTCGCCAAGACTAAGAGTAGTTGATACTCTTCTAGAATGTCTATTTGAGTTACCTGGCTGACATCCAAGACTCGCCTTGGCTTCGCATTATCCTTTGGCCAACGCTCCGAGAGATAAATGCCACTATCTGTACCGTACACCAACTTTCTACCACCGTCGACAGGGACAAGGCAATTTACCCGATTGACTGCCGTGAAGAAGTTCTCACAGAGCACGGTCTTTTTGCAGAAGTTGCTGTTCCGCTCCCTCAGTTTTCTCTGTTGTTCTTCCACCAGTTCAATGAACTTTCGTCTTTGCATGGGGGACGTGGCATAAAGAGTTTGTTCGTAACCGCCTTTGCCAAGATGTCTGAAGGTGATAGGAAGTCCATCTTTTGTGTTTGGCGGATTCACGGTTGCTTTATTTGGGAGCAGACTAGATGAGGGTCTTTTAGCGATTCCCGCCCTAGGTATTACCTCGTCCATCTGCGCAATGACCAGGAGTTCTAGAGGAATCGGCTTCCGATAGACTCGATACTCCTCGCGCTTGTTCACAACCTTGATTCTCACCAGTAAAACAGCATGGTCAAAAAGGTATGCGGTGACCTCGGAGGTGTCAGTCGGTGTTTTCCGGAAAGCCATTTTTGTCAGCATCTGACGGTTCTCCTCAGTAAGCTTCAAGTCGACAAAGTCACCAGGGTTAACAAATCTTAGAGCTCCATTGAGCTGAACGAGGTTGAAATGGTTCTCAGCTCTTCCACTCTCAGCGTTGACGCGGGACAAGAAATCCTTGATGAGCTTGATAGCTTTGGGAATATCTTCTTTGTCGGGGTTATCATCCGCCGTGTTTTTCACAACCTGTTCAAGTAGTAGTGGATATCTTGCGAGACGGGTGGTCGGTTTGGTCAGGTATCCATTCAATTCTAGCTTTCGTGACTCCTTCAGTCGCTCGGTTTCTTCCACAAACCTTGCAAAGGCTGGATTAGACGCCTTCTCTTTCTCGAACTCGTACTTTCCATAGAGTTGATTCGCACCATATTTGATAAACGGGTCGAATCGTGGAACATGTTGCAGGAATATATCGCCAACTCTCTTCACTACGTGACTTTCCTTTTGTCTGGCATTGAGAGCTTCAGCCAAACCGCCGTTAACTTTTAGGACCTCCAAGCAGTTTCCAAATACTGTACGAATGAACTTTTCTCGTCGGTGTTCTGGAATAGGTGAAATGTTTGTGTTGCCAGCAGAACGCAAAGGCCTCATCCAGAAATCTCGCAGATACTCCAAATCCTTGACAAAATCGCGTTCTGTGTACATAATCTCGAAGATAATTTCTTGTCGTTTCTTTTCGCGATCATCGATGCTATCGGAGACCTCCTTTGGAACCATGTTAATCCATAATTTCTGATTGTCATTATCATCATCGTCTTCATGTAAACTTCCTTTAGACGCAGACGACCGCAAACCCGGTTGTGGTTTGAGATTCAGTCGTGCCTGCTGCTCCAGTCTTCTGGGGCACGCAATTGAGTAGCATAAGCTGTCGCGATTACAAGTCGGTGAATAACATTCAGTGAGAAGAGTGAACACTCCGTTGACTTCAGAGCTGGGCGCTTCCTTGGGCGCGTCCTCTGGCACTTCCTCTGGCAACACTTTTTTTTCGAATTCATAGAACGCACCAGGGGAATCTCGAAGACGATGTTCATACGTCGCTTCGTGGAAAAACTTCTGAGCATCCAGGGCACGCCCTAGAAGAAGAGCTAGATTTCGATCGTTCGTCTTGACGATGTAGCTGATCAAGTCTACCGCCTCTGCGCCAGAAAAGGTGCTGTAAAAAGTAATTCCGTTTTTTTCTCGCACAGTAAGCTCAATTTTCTCGCGGAAGGCCTCAGCAACCCGCGAAAGCAAAGCTGGATATACCAATGGCACCTTGCTCCTACGGGAGTTGCTCGCCACAAGGGTTGTCTGGCCGGCAGGCTTGGAAGGTTCCTGGCTTTGCATACTCATTGTTCGATCTGGCACTACCGTCGAAGCCATTGACAAAGACCGTGAGGTTGTCGAACCATCACTCGGTGGCCGTGGCCTGCCATCGGCATTATGGGCGGCAGCTGGGTCCACGTCTGGCCGAGAAAACGGCGGTTGGCTAGAGCTCGAAGGCTGTCTTCGAGCAGGGATTACTCTCCCTGTGCTCGTGGTATGATTGTAGTCCGGGCGATCAGTAGAATAAGAAGTCAATGACATAGCACGCTCGTTTCCATGCCTCTCCGGCACAACTCGTCCTTGTGCGGTCATTGGGGCTGCAGCGTTGTACGGCTGCTGGCGGAAAGCGCTCGCAGATGTATGATTAAAGCTACTAGGTGGTGGTTGATATAGTGGCGGTCCTCCCATTCTTGCCATTGACCTTGATCTGTAAGCATCTGAATTCAGTGCAGGGGGCGGCATCGGCCGGCCGTATCCCTTTGCATCCGGATATTGTGCTCCTGGGCTCGGCCTTGAGTCTAGCCGTTGGGGCTGAGGATAAGCGAAGCGTCCAGGGTACGGCCGCGGAGCATTCTGGGAAGACTGGGAAGTCATAGTCGCGGACCCAGGGTACGCTTGATAGTATCCGTTCGGGGCACCCGCTGGATGTCCATTTGGCACCTGGCGTGTTGGTGGTGGTGGTGGACCTCTCTGCATCTGGGGATGCGGCACGTGTGATGACATAGTGTGAGCCCTGTCTTGAGAAAATTGAGGAGTTTGTGAAGTCATTGTCTGAGAGCGGCCAGGTGGTGGTGCCCCACCAAATATCTCAGAAAATGCAGCATCTCGTTGGAAAGATGAAGGATGTCCGTAAGGCCGGTAGTTCCGGCCTTGATGGCCTCCAAGGTCGGCCATGTTTGATCTCCCCTCTTTTTCTCTTTGACCCTGATTTCCAAATCTATTCGGATAGAATGGAGGAATAATATGACGACTAGCGAGTGTACCGGAAGGGTGAATTCAAGCCCTGGTGCAGCGAAAGGGTATCGGAACCGGTCGTAGAGAGCGTGCAGAGCGTCGCAAGGTGGTCGTTTGGAATCGTGGAGAAAGGAGGAGGGACAAGGGAAGAAAGAAAAAGAAAAGTAGGCAAGAGAAAAATGATACTCCACAGACGATAATTTATAATCAAATAAGGGAAGAATAAAATTCAATAAAAAAGAAATTTCCTAGACACAAAAATAACCCTGAGCGTATCATGCCTCAATGGGGAGGCTTCGGTCCTGAGACGATTTCAAAGCCTTGGAGGAAGGCGTTGACAAGTCCGCGTGGTGTGTTAACGATGGAAGTGCGCTACTAAGGAGCCTTGAGCGCAACGGCAAGCCAGGCCCCCTGTAAGTTCATAGCCTTAGCATCCTCCCTCGGGACTAGTTCGATCGAGGCGAGATGAATGTGAGTCCGGCCTGTGGGTGACAAGAGAACGGACCAGACTATGTGAAAGTTCGGGGGGAAAGAGGGGAGGAGCGGGGGGTAGAGGGTATTTGGAAGGGGAGTATGTATGGGAAGTGGTGAAGAATGGCCCGTCCGTCATGGAGAAGCACGGGGGTTGTTGGGTTGAACAGGCACATGTCAGACTTAACCCGGATAGGCCAGGAGTGTGGCTCTCAGTGCGGCTGGTACGGTGGCCCGGACGAGCAACTTAGGACGGACAACATCCTACCTACTACCTACTACTAGCTAAGTAACCAGACCGACCTTAGTACGTAGTCTTCAAGGTAAATGTTCTTCTGAGCTGCAACGACTCTGGTTCTCAACGGAGTAACCTTTTAGTCGCGCGTGCATTTCATTACCTTTCCCTCTATTGAGGTTCATTTCATTTCTTATCCTGTCTCTTTCCCCCGGTCTTTCTCTTGTTCTTTGTCCTTTCCTCATCTCCTCCATTTACCATCGGAACCTGGTCACAATGGTGGTGGACAGCGAGTTGGCGCCAAAGTTCGCCCCCTTCTTCTCTTTTGTAAGTGAAATTACTCACAACGCGATCATGCCTGATACCCTAGGAATTTGCTGACTTCTTGGCTCCAGGCAGGGATAGCTGCAGCTGTGAGTACTCCGTGAATGTGCCTCGACATCTGACTGTTCTCTAACGGCCTCTCGAAAGATGATCTTCGGATGTATGTCTACACTTGAGTATTGAATGATAGCGATCATACGGAAAATCGGGATACTTACACACCTTAAGCAATGGGTGCAGCATATGGAACCGCTAAGTCCGGCATTGGTATCTCGGGTGTGGGAACGTTTAGGTCGGATCTTATCATGAAGGCATGAGTGACATTTCCATCCAAAACTATCTGGCGATACTATTGGCTTGTCTTGCTGACTGAAGTAGTCGTTGGTTCCGGTCGTTATGTCTGGTATCATCGCGGTGTACGGCCTTGTCATTGCAGTCCTCATCGCACAGGACATGCAACCACCTCCGCTACAAAGGATGAGCTTATATACGTACGTCCAATTTGCGAATTGTGTCTCAGCCTGGAAGTAGTATACTGACGGTACACAAAGTGGGTTCATGCACCTTGCATCAGGACTGTCGGTTGGCCTCGCAGGCATGGCTGCCGGATACACTATTGGAATTGTTGGAGATGCGGTAAGCGGTTTTTGCACGGCTATGCGGACGTCTTCACACTTCTAACAACTAGTCAAGGGTGTACGTGCGTACCTACAGCAATCTCGGGTCTACGTCGGGATGATCCTTATCCTCATCTTCGGCGAAGTGCTTGGTCTCTATGGGTATGTAACTATTGTTATACATGAATATGAATTTGACGCTAACTGTGATAGACTTATTGTGGGCCTGATCCTGAATTCTAAGAGCCACCCTTAAACCGAGTTAGGCGTTGCATTTTGATACTCGATATGTTGGTGACTTGCACTTGACTGCTTTACCAACTTTTTTGAAATTCTTCTATACCAAGGGCCCACCACTTCAGATCATGGGTTATTTAGACGACTGCGAAGGCAGCAGCGATCTGCTTCCCCTTCTGCGGCCACGCTTTGAATGTCCCCCGCGGGTGTTCCGGTTGGAACATCATCCCCTTTTAGCCTTCGGGAGACTGTACTAGTATATGCCTACACGCTTTGGATAACAATGACAATATTGAATCTTATACTTTGTGTTTTTAAGTGAATGCAGTCTATCTTCTTGCTTCTGTCGCATAATCAAAGCAACATATGGAAACAAAAAGACCGGCACTCGGATGTGGGTAACAGTGGATGCGACCGACTCCAACCTCGCGCCCATCCCGCGGGTTTGCCCCGCCAGTCGGTAGGTAACGTCAGAGTCTCCCGTAGCGCCGCCGACGACCTCACCACAGCTCTTTCATCCCGCAATCACCTTAATCTTCGCTCTCCCCCACCGCGCCACTCCCATACGCCCAATACAGACTCAATGGAATATTACGTTTACATCGCATTCTAGTTTTGATTTTAGGGAGCCTCTCAGTCCCCCAATTGTCATTTAAAGTGCTCCGCTCTTCTCCCACCCCCCAAAATCGGGGTATTCGGATTCCTGCGGTTCCCCGAGACATGATCTTTCCCCATCCCCATGGCTACAGGAACGGTCGACCCTTCGGCCCCTAAGGACGTCCAGGGGACATCGAGCCCGACCGGAGACATCGATACGGGGTCAAGTAATCTTCACGAGAAAGAAAAACAGATGGTGGCTGCTATCCGCCCGCCGCACCAGCGACATCTGAGTCCTTTCGTCATCACTGAGCGGCCGGAGGAAAAACAACTAGGCGTGTCTACCCGCACCTTGACAGTTGATGACTTTGCACTTCTGAAAACCCTCGGTACAGGTAAGACTCATCGCTGCATCCGGGGATGAACATGGTCAGTGGCTAACAGTAAGACTGCTATTAACACAAGGCACCTTCGCTCGAGTATGGCTAGTGAGGTTAAAGGACGAGATACGACAGAGAGATAAAGTGTACGCACTCAAAATACTACGCAAGGCGGATGGTGAGACTACCTGGGTATGCACGTCTGCATTCTGCAGGCTAACCTTTGGTGCTAGTGATCAAATTGAAGCAGGTCGAACATGTGCGCAATGAGCGGAAGACTCTCTCGGCGGTTGCCGGCCACCCATTCATAACGTCACTGATAGCCTCATTTTCCGACGACCAAAGCTTGTACATGTTGGTAGGGGCCCAAGTGCTTTCAGTTTTGCCCCTTCAGTCCCAACACCCATCCGTCAACGTGTACCTCTACAAGTCTTAATGGTGATCTAACGTATATCTAGTTGGACTATTGCCCTGGCGGTGAGATTTTTAGTTACCTACGGCGCGCGCGCAGGTTCAACGAAAACACTGCTAAATTCTATGCGGCTGAGATCACTCTTACCATCGAATTCCTCCACGACGTAGAGGGAATCGTTTATCGCGACCTGAAGCCTGAAAACATTCTTCTGGACGCCGAGGGGCACATTAGGCTTGTCGACTTTGGCTTTGCAAAGAAAGTCGATAATCGGGAGACTTATACCCTTTGCGGCACGCCAGAGTACCTTGCCCCCGAGGTCATCCATAACAGTGGCCATGGTCTTGCGGTTGACTGGTGGGCCCTAGGTATTCTCATTTATGAGTTTCTGGTGGGGCAACCGCCCTTCTGGGACCAGAATCCCATGCGTATATACGAACAGATCGTGGAAGGCCGCATACGCTTCCCTCAAAACATGTCGCCGGCGGCCCAGAATATCATATCCTTGCTTTGCAAGACCAATCCGACGGAGCGCCTAGGGTACATATCTGGAGGGTCTGCCAGAGTCAAGTCCCATCCATTCTTTGAAGACATACAATGGGATGATTTGTTTTACCGCCGTATCAAAGGACCTATCATCCCAAGAGTCGACCACCCCGCAGACACCGGTAACTTCGAAGAGTATCCGGACCCAGACGTGAGAAGTCAGAACGTTTATACCGATGATCTGAGAAAAAAGTACGAGGTTTTATTTAGCGACTTTTAGGCATGGTGTTGGAGCAAATTCAAATATATTACTGAACAAACAACTTTCAGTGAACGTACTGCCGCCACGCGATCAGGTCGATCCGTTCAACCGGATCATCCCAGCGGAGACGGTTCAAGCATCCTGATTGGCAACGGAGACTCAAGACCCTTGTTTTAAAAGCCAGGACTATTGCCGCATATGCCTACATACGAACGATGTTCAGTTCGGGCCGCGATACCCCCGCCTCATTCTTGGTGATCAACTGTTTTCACAGGGGAGGCTGCCAGTACGTTCGTGGTCGCCTGTCGCCTATCTACGAATACTCGGAAGTTCCTGCTGTTCAGCCAGTACATCTTGTTTCTCTGCTGTCCATTGCTATGCATCCCCCTGTTGACTGCCTTAGGTGGCCTTCCAGGAGCTGCCACTAACCCCTTGTATCAATGATCATCAGTGACCCGGATGGTCCTCGACACTTGTCATGAAGAGATGATAACTTTCTTTGCTATTTAATTCTCTTTGGTGCTAATGAACTTTGTTTGTTATTCACATGCATATGATGTACTATCTTTTACTCATCAACTTCACCGTTCCCACAATAGCTGGACATTATACTATACGATCGCCTGTGGTCTCTCTCGACCAAGACCAAGATCTTTTACACTTGTCATATGCTCAGCTATACTGTGTCAATCGGCGTCTACATGAAGAGACGATAATATAAACCTCATCGAGGACTTATACGGCCTGCGTCCGCCATTTTGTTTATGAACAGGACATACAGTACATTTGGATGGGATCAATTATATTATATACTTAATACAGTTTTGCTATTTGCTCAAACCTGCTTGACAATTTCTAATCAACTTCATACAGTTTCCTGAGCTGTACAGAAACAAGGTTCAGAGTTGGCAGCATTAAATTTCGTTAAAATCTATATATCTATACAAAAAATTCTAGATCGCGTATCAAGAATAAAGACACATATTAAGAGGGTCTTGAGATAACCACAACCACAGGATTAGATGGGTTAGTCAATCGGATCGAGGGCATTAGCTAGAGAATCTTTTTTTTTTTTTTTTTTTAGGGTGGGTGTAATTCCCGACTGATAGAGGGTATCTAGTAGTTGGAAGCATACTCGGGTCGGAGGTGAAATGTGTTGGTCAGCTACATTGGATTGGCAACTGTCAGCGGCGTTGATCACAGGACGTGACTCGTTTATACGTCATTCATGCTGTCGTTCACGTGATGGTAATGGATCGTCCATTCCCATCGAGTCGAGCCGACTTTCGTGGGAAAAATTAGAGGTAAAGGAGCTAACATGTGAGCTTTCTCTCTCACTGTCGATGCTCGTCGGAGCTAAGATGGTGATCTTTATTCTCCGGAGTACGTTGGACGGTGGGGTGGTAGTAAGAACCCATCTTTTTTTTTTATAATGACGGGTCCGTTTTCCATGTTCCTAGTCATGATATTTAGCACCGGTGCAAAAACAAGGATAAGAGCATAGTTACCTTCAAAGTCGTGTCTGACGAAGGCCATTGGATCATCGTAGTCGCCTGCGCCCATTTGCATCACGCCAGGGCTGAAGCTCGTAATGGGTAGCACCACCACGTCGCCGACCTTCCTCCATTCTTTTTGGTTTGTGAAATCTTCGTATGTGATGTTGTGATTCGAATCAGGTTCGATGTTGAAGTAATCTGGGTCGTTGAAATATCTGAAGATAGCGTCTGTCCATGCGCCCGGTCCGGTGAACTCCACAATGGTCTTATCCATCTTGCCGACCTTTAGGATCCCAGCCTTCTTCATCCGTAATGTCTCCTCCGTGATGTAGGCCACGATGTCGCGAAGGATCGGATGCCCCGGTTTGGATTGTATGGTCCATTGGCAGAATTGGATTCTCCGGGAATACCAGTCATGCCAATCCGGACGGTCCGGATCCGCCTCGATGCCGACCACGAATCCGATCGTGGACAGGTCGTAGGTCGAGGGCAGCCAATCGGCAGCCGGCTTCAAAGCGCTGGTGTCGATGTCACTATAGATTCCACCACGGGCCAGCAGGATCAAGTATCTGAAGAAGTCGGCTTTCAAGACGGGCAACGGCAACGACTCGTAGGCTTCGAACACATCAGGAAGCGAACCGTATAGGTACTTGATGAGGTAACCTTGGGTGTCGTCTGGAACCACCTGGTGGACGAAGCCGGGGTGGAGCTCAGTCCAACTTGCCTCCGCACCACGCAGCTCTTGGCCGAACCACAACGAGTCGGGGGTGTATTTCCATGTCTGCCAGATGTATGCAGGGAATTTATTATCAAGATCGTAGGGGAAATGGTAGCGTAACCGTTCGCGCAAGGGTGCGCTCGGGGAGGGTTTGAGTGGCTGCTGCTGTGGTGTCACCTCTTTTTTCTGCTCGGACGACTGCTCTTCCGTTCCTTCATTGGTGCTGTAAACGGCCTCATCGGGGAGGTGTGCGGGCGCAGGGGACGAGGGGGAGGAAGCCGAATGAGAGGATCTTAGAAGGACGACGAAGGTGATCAGGAAGAGGGCCGCAATGAGCGACTTTCGGTAGGTGAGCATGGTGGGGAAGGGGGGGTTGTCGAAGATGTTTGATGCGGGTTGATCGACGGAGAATTGCGATTCGCTGGCACGTACGCGAGTTTTAAAGAGACGTCACGATCTTGTCCGCAAACTCCGCCGACGATCAGTGAATGACAACGGACTTTGAGATGCGGCGACGACCAGTGGATTCAGTATGGATTTCAATTTGTGTCCCACTCAATGGTCATTGCACTGGCACATATCTGCACTTTGTTGCGACTGAGACAATATGCAAAAGACCGCCGGAATTACAGATAGGAAATCAGTTGCGAACAATGACTCTATCTCCGCGTTTACACTGCGCGAACGATGAGCTTCGGCTGCTGCGGCGCGTTGTTCGGTTGGCAAAGAGTGATCCCTTGTAGTGACACGATTTTTTGCAGAGTGGCAATGATAAAGAAAAAAAAAGAGATCAAGAGATCAAGAGATAAGATATAGACCGACAAAAGTGGCAGTGACGAAGAGATACAGAAAAAGAAAGAAAAAGTTAGGCGGAAGCTACCGGGGGTGGAGCTAAATGACGACGGCACTTTTTGGTGGCGTCAGACTCCGCGTAGACCGGCAGATGGTGGCTTAGTAGTAGATCCAGATGGCTGAGGTGAGGTTGGAAAACTTCTCTGATGGAAGTTCCAGAGAATTGTCAACGTGGGTTATTTAAAATATAAAGGGGGAAAGAAAAAAGGGCAAAAAGAGAGTTAATGTCACGGAGATTGAATTTGAGGAAATGTGGAGATCATTTTCGTGCAACGTTGGCCATCGACATCCTTTTTTTTTTTTTTTTTTTCTTTTCTTGTCTTCCTTCTTTTCCGCAATGGGAGATGATCAGCCCAGACTCTTTGTGCAGTTCGTCATGACGCGATGGGCTGATTCATGTTTGGTTTGCCGTTCGAATCCTTGGAACCGAGAAGACCACCACCTCGAACTAGGCATCTATAAGTTAAGTACATGAGGATGGCGCTCAATCCGCCGTTTGCAGTCTCAAGAGAGAGTCTACAGAAACACAACCGCAACGGTAAGGAATTTTGCGAACCATCTAGACCTTCGGATCCTATGTTGCTCTTATGGAGTATGGAGCACTCCTGAAACAATCACACACACACACACACACACTCTCTCTCTCTCTCTTTCTATAGAAGACTTTGGGAACTGAACTATTCCTCCCGAATGGTCTCCGCGCCCGATTACCGGGGTCGATAACCCACCATAATCGCGCATGCATGGCTCACGGACATGTAATATATTGGAGACCTTAGGGGAAAAATCCGAGGCACGCGATTGGTGAACGGCTGTAGGTAAAGTTGTTAATTGCATCCAAGATCCCAGTCAAGCCGCGTCATTAGCATTTTGTCTCATCCCGACAGATCTGCAGGTAAGGCTTGGCCCACGATGCTTGACGTCGTGCTGATTGGTTCTGCATACATCCGGGTCAAAGTACTAATGCGACCTCAGACCGTGAGCCACGTTCAACTTCTGAATTGTACAAATTCTGGTGATATATAATCTTCTTCCCCTTATGGCCAATACCCACATCAAGGACTAGAAAAAATCCAGAGGGTTGAGGTTTGACCGTCTGTTTCATTCCGACACCGAGACGGCAACCTGTCTTGACCACTGACAATCCTCAATGAGGTCGGTGGTCCTTTCAGAAAGCGCCAAGCTTCCTTTAGCAATGAAGTATACGTGGAAAGTAACATTGAACAAATGCTTCCTTGGGATGATCTTCAATATATACACCATTGCAATTCGGACCTCCGGCGGAGGGACACGAGGATGCCCTCTGTACGGGGGAGATATAAGGGGTATCATGTACGAAGATCATGCTTGGATCAGATACCAATCAATCCCATTCAATCAACGATCCTTCTCGCCAAGCATGACCGGAGACTCGTAGACTAGGGCAATTTCTAAAATGTATGTAGTATGTAGTATGTACATACATGTTTGACTACACTTCAATTCAACCCTAGTAGATTTGATAGATAGGTAATGATTGTTAGGTCACTTATACATAGACCATAGACATCTGTCCACGAATGGAGGAGGGAATGTCAGATGAATTCCTGACCTACACGTGGAGCTGCGCGGTCGCTGTTTGGCCCGAACGGTTCCTTCAGACTTTCGAGTCGCGGGAGTCCCACCGCCTTAGCCCCAATGCGGACGGTTGCTTGTACAATATCTTCAAATCCTGGCAAGCGGTGGGGTTTTGTTGCAACTGCTTCAACCTCCAATGTTACTGTACCTGAGATGATTCCATACAAAAGAAAAGAGAGGTTCACCAATCCCATATCGTTTAATTATAGCAGTACCACTCTCATGGCAGGGTCTTCTACCACCCCGGCGAACTGACAAACTGGAGTAAGCGCCGTTTGAAGCCTTCGAGGAGCACTGCATTTAAGGGGAAAAGAAAAGAAAAGAAAAAGACAAAGACACCCATATTTCTAGCAAACAAGTGAGTACTAAGAGGATCAGTTGCCTAATTTTCTAAGAATTGTGACAGGACGGAGAAACTCCAGTGGAAGACTTCTTCAGATCCTCAAGAATGAGCAATTCAACCTCTGGTAGAGGCCTTCCTTTCGACTCATGCAGGCTATGCCCCGCTGACTTGTTCTTTCAATTGCTTCAGCTCACTATAACTGGATGATATCTCGAGTCTTCAAGAGTCTCGACTACTCGTTCAGCTTATCAGTTCTAGACATCTTGATATAGTAAGCCGTCAGCCAATGACAATACGAGTAGATGACGCCATGAGCTTTCCCGCGGCCTCGCAGCTGTCGACGCCTCAGGCATCGCCTCCGCCTGCGTAATCGGCGATCAAATATAATGATAAACACTGATTTCTCAACCGCAAAAACTCCTAGGTGACAGCTCGTGCTGCAATCATATTCTCTCTCACTTGTGTATTGCAGTTGGGTTCCGTACTCAGCCAACAATGGGATCGATACACGGCGTGGCGCGCTCAGCGCGGAGTCTCTCAGCTTTGCTTCGACATGAGAGCGTCTCGACTCGGAATCGATTAGCAGCAGTATGCTCGTCCACGCAATACCCAGCGGCCCGTAGGCCATTACACAACGGTCGTCCACGGAAATCCCAGTCCGCTGCCGCAAGTAACAACTCATCCAACCCAGCCCTATCGTTTCCTTGTCTTGACGCCCAAGATGCGAAGTCCGCTCTCCTCTCCGCACGCTCTCTCGAGTCGGGTCCCGAGCCGTCATACACAACCGGCCATCATGAACAGTTCCGTTGCGAAGACCCATTGTTGCTTGACTGGGGTGGTGTCCTGCCGGAGTTCGATATCGCATACGAATCATGGGGCCAATTGAACACAGACAAGAGCAACGCTATCCTACTACACACCGGTCTCTCGGCCTCGAGTCACGCCCATAGCACCGAAGCCAACTCCAAACCTGGATGGTGGGAGAAATTCATCGGCCCAGGCAAGCCATTAGATACAAACAAGCACTTCGTCATCTGTACGAACGTCATCGGAGGCTGCTACGGCAGCACCGGGCCATCGTCCATCGACCCCTCCGATGGAAAGAGATACGCCACCCGATTCCCCATCCTGACGATAGACGACATGGTGCGCGCACAATTCCGTCTCTTGGACTCGCTGGGTATCCAGAAGCTGTATGCCTCCGTCGGCTCCAGCATGGGCGGCATGCAGAGTCTCGCCGCCGGAGTGCTTTTCCCCGAGCGGGTCGGAAAGATCGTCAGTATCAGCGGCTGCGCCCGAAGCCATCCGTACAGCATCGCCATGCGACACACGCAGCGCCAGGTCCTCATGATGGACCCGAAATGGGCCCGTGGGTTCTACTACGACTCCATCCCACCCCATTCGGGCATGAAGCTCGCGCGAGAAATCGCGACAGTCACTTACAGAAGCGGACCCGAATGGGAGAAGCGATTTGGCCGCAAGCGCGCAGACCCCAGCAAGCAGCCTGCACTGTGTCCCGATTTCCTCATCGAGACGTACCTCGATCATGCGGGCGAGAAGTTCTGTCTGGAATATGACCCAAACAGTCTGCTGTATGTCTCTAAGGCCATGGACTTGTTTGATTTGGGACAGGCACAGCAAACGGAGACGAAGAGAAGACGGGCCGAGTACGAAGCTAATATCGCGGAGGGAGGCAAGAGCGTCGACGCTAGCAACATCGCCTGCAGCCTCACGCTTCCAGAGAAGCCGTACGAAGAACAACCGTCTGTGACCGCGTCTACGCCCGCGATGGACCAGTCCGTCGCTGGGGGTGCGGATGCACCGCCACAAGATCTCGTCGCTGGACTAGCGCCTTTGAAGAACCACCCCGTTCTGGTTATGGGTGTTGCCAGCGATATTCTCTTCCCTGCTTGGCAGCAACGTGAGATTGCAGAGACACTTCGGGCCGGTGGAAACGAGAAGGTCCAGCACATTGAACTTGGCGAGGACGTATCGATGTTCGGACACGATACGTTCCTGCTTGACTTGAAGAACATTGGTGGTGCAGTAGAGAAATTCTTGCGCTGATATCAATAGTGTTTTCTTTATTAATAATATCATCACTTATCTATATTGATGATTGTATGAAATGTAAAATTAAACGGATCAAATCCTACCCCTAGATGATAATGACCCACTACTATGATGACAATGTAATTACTTTTTTACATGAATGGATACGAATCAGCGTCCCTTGAGGCTAGAGTTTTATCTTGTGCCCATCCTCCTAGGCAATGATAGCGATAGCTGGGTTAGATTTCTCGTAATATATGTAAGAACTGCTAGTCCCATTCAACACCCCAAAAAAAACCCCGGATCCAATATACAATGTCAACAAGAAATAATCGAGGGTATCTCAGAAATATACAAATCAATCACAACGCCACAAGGAAAACCAAATAAACCTACGTAAAGAGCGTCATTCCTTCCCCAGTAAAAGCTGTCTCCTTTCTCTATACCAACGCTCCAGACATGCCCGTCTCTGCGCCTGCGTCATGCTTTCCACAACAAGAGCAAACTCCGTAGCATTAGGGAACCCGAACCGCTTCGCCATGCTACAGAACTGTCTCTTCATCACGTCGTGAGGAGGATGATACTTGAAGCGGATCGGCCTACCATCTTTCTGAAGTTCGGTGGTAGACGCCACATTTGACCCGTCTTGAGAATCTCCAAAGACCTGGACATCATTATTCGAGCCCTCGCTGGCTAGCTCTGCGCGTCTGCTGAGACGTTCTTCGACCTTCGAGGAGCCAATGACCTCGTTGTTGAGGTGGGTATATTCCACACCGGCACCGGCGAGGATGGCCTGAATGGGATCGTGGCGCTTGGGGATGGGGGATTGTTGAGCGCCTTTGGCGTCTTCGGACTCGCCGCGGATCATGGCGGCGAGGTGGCTCATGACCTCATCATCAGTGTTTTTGGGGTCTTCGTGAGTTTGTGATTCATCCACGTCAATGTCCATTACCTGGACCCCGGCCCGGCTTTCGGCGACGTTGGTTTTGTTGACGATTTCGCGGAGGACGATGTTGTTGTTTTGGTACTCGAAGAGATTGTTTAGTCCGAAGATTTCGCCCTTCTGATCTTTCTTTTCTTGGACACCCTTGAAATAGCGCCGTTCGGAACTTGCGTTGTAGCCGATGTTCGCTTGTTGCTGCTTGTAAATCTGACGCGCGTAGACGATCTCTTCGATGGTGCCAGCGGAGATTAGTCGGAATACCTCAACATCGCGGACCTGGCCGATTCGGTATGCTCTGTCCTGGGCTTGGAGGTCGTATGATGGGTTCCAATTGGGGTCGACGACGACCACTTTATTTGCGGATGTGATGTTCAAACCCACACCACCAGCACGGGTGGAGATCAAGAAAACGAATTGTCGGGGATCCGAGTTGAACTCGTCAACGGCTGTTGCACGCTCGTCATAACTCATCGAACCGTCCAGGTAACTGACATTGTAACTTGTATGGTGAAACAACATTTGCAACATCCTCAACAACCGGACGCTGTGGGAGAAGACCAATACCTTATCTCCGTTGGAATGCCACCACTTGAGGAGTCGGCGGAGAACCTTCCATTTTCCGCAGAACTCAGGGTTAGCGTAGTTGACTATGGAGTCTCTTGTTCGAAAAAGTTGTTCCCATTTATCAGGGGAGGCAATTTCTAGCCATTCCCTATCCTTGTCCTGCTTCTCCTTGGAATCCACTCCCTGCGGTATCAGAATCGCAAGATGATTGCTGAGTTTCTGTATAACATTCATTGCGGGAAACACATAGCTTTGCCACCGAAGTCCAGATTGTAGATATTGCTGACAGCACCACCCGGCCTTCTTTCTTGAACCGCAAGAACACATCTCAGAAGATTCCTTGATGTACCGGATGATTTCACTATCCAATAGGTTTTCGTAGGCATCTGCCTGCGTTTCTGTTAACGGGCAAAAGACGACTCGGTCGATCTTCTTGGGAAGTTGATCCGCTATCAGGCTTTTCATTCGCCGGAGAAAGAACTGAGGAAGAAGGTTCTCGACCAACTTCTTGGCAGTCTTGCGAGCTTTGCTCAGTTCGTGTAGCGTAGCATCATGCGACTGCCCTATCTTCAACGGGTCAGAAATGGTTTTTTTCCAAGTTGTAACTGGGCCCAATTTCCCAGGATTTGTCCAGTTCAATAGAGTCCAGAGTTCTTCGTATTTGTTTTGAATGGCTGTCCCTGTTAATCCAATGCGGCAGAGAGCATTAACTGAATTCATGGCTTTGGTAGTCTCAGAAGTTCGTTCCTTGATGATGTGGCATTCGTCCGCTATCACGCAATCCCAGTCTACCATGTTCACGGCATCCTTATTTTGAAGATAGGTACCGTAGGTGGTGATGAGGATCTCAACTCGTCCGGATCTCGCTGCTTGAAGAGCAAGCTCCTTGTTGTCTCCATGGTAGGTATCGACATGCCACCAGCCCCAACGGGTGAGTTCTGACATCCAGTTCTTGATCAAAGTACCTGGGCATACTATCAACGTTCGTGGATACCATTGATCTTTCCCACTCCTTCTCATTTTCCTCATCCTCTTGGCGTCTCTCTCGTCGCCAGTCTTACCATACGCCGCGGTAAGGAATGCAATTACTTGCACTGTTTTCCCCAGACCCATATCATCACCAAGTATGCCACCTTTCTGATAGACAAACAATTCGTGTAAGAAAGCAGCTCCATCCACCTGGTACTGTCTAAGCCACTGCGCGACGGGAGCAGGGATTAACCCTAGAGAGTATGGAAGAGTGATATCTTTGTACGCATTGCACGGTTTTATGTTCGTAAAGGCCGGTTTCTCTTCTAGAAATTCCAAGCGCTCATCATCGGAGAACTCAATATCTTCGTAGCCCGGGGGTAACTTCAGCCCTGACTCCTTGAGGTGTTCGGCTCTACGTTCAAATTGCTGTCGTCGCTTCTGCAAATAGTCCGGGAGCGTGTACTCCATCAAGTCGTCTTCGGAAGGCACTTCATCATCATACTCTCTTAACGGCCGCCTTGGCGTGGGTCTCCCACCTTGTCTTGGACGTCTTCCTACAAATGACTCGGGGTCGGCCATCTTGGGTGTTTTGGTCTTGCGAGCACTCATGGAGGTACGCTTCCTCTTGAGCGCTTTTCGGTTTTTGAATGCTTGATAGGCCGCCTCGCCATCATTGAAAGACATATCATCGCTGTCGGTTTGCACTTCTAGGGTTGCTATGGGGGTATGATTGTTGAGCGGCGAAGACTGTTCTTTGACTGGGGACATAGATCTAGGTGTAGGACGGGGCGTCACTTCGGAGTTGGATTTTGTGCCTGATATTTGGAGAATATTAGCCTCAACTTCGCTTTAGGATCATAGTAGATGCGGAGAAACGTACGGCTGAGGGCAGCCTTGCATGGCCTCGCCGACCGTGAGACGTCCAGATCGTCATCATCAGAGCTTGCAGTGGTCGCGTCTGAATTTTCTAACTCCCAGCCAGATCCCATATTATTCTCAGCAAGTCCAGTTCGCTGGATTACCCAGTGGTGTAGAGGGAGAATGAGAGGAAACACGCGCGGGCGGCGATGAAGGCGGAGGATCTATATTACCCAATCGGGAAAGGAGCTCAATTCTTTCAAATTGATTTTGTCGCCGATCCAAACTCCCCGCCGCCGTTATCGTCTCTTCTACTTTAGAACCAACCATTGTGCATTCGACTCGGCTTAACGCGAGGAAACATCTTTTGGGCTTCTCCGGCATATAATTTCTGATCTGATTCGTTCACCGTCTTGTGACTATACGGTCGCTTTTCGCCCGCGCTCCCAAGAACAAGTTATTAGATATCACCGAGTTCTATACACATACGGTTGTTAGAAAGCCTTAAACCAACCATAGAGTAGACGGCTCACCCCTCAATATGCCTCTCGATACATCGACTACGTACCCCCTTACCAAACTGCGCCTCGATGGCCGCCGGTGGAACGAGCTTCGTCTTCTCCAAGCTCAGATCTCCACAAACCCGGCCAGTTCTGGCTCGTCTTATTTGGCCATGGGAAATACAACTATTATGTGCTCAGTTCATGGTCCTGCGGAAGGACGCCGAGGAGATGCGACCGGTGGTGCAGCGGGTTCTGCGGGAGCAGTGGTAGAAGTCGATGTCAACGTCGCTGGATTCGCCGGAGTTGATCGCAAGAGAAGAGCGGGAGGAGGCGACAAGTATGCAGACCAATGCGATTGATATTTTTATTATTGTTCACGAAGCATGCTAACCTGTCTTTACTAGGCAATCGTCGCGCATTGCAACTACTCTACGGGCTGCTTTCCAGTCTCATCTTCACACCTACCTTTATCCGCACAGTACTATCAGCATCCACGTTTCAGTACTATCTGCCGATGGCTCTCTGCTTGCTGCTGCTATCAATGCTTGCACCCTAGCACTTGTTGATGCAGGTATCCCCATGCCAGGCTTACTCTGTGGCTGCACAGCTGGTATGAGTGGAAGTGCTTCTACTCCTCGTGATCCTCGAAATGACGAACTAGATCCGCTTCTGGATCTGTCTTTGCCAGAGGAGCAGGAGCTCCCATTCCTCACCGTGGGCACTACAACCTCTGTCCCGGTGGGTGAGAATGCGATGGATGACGACGAGGAAGATATGAAAGTTTCCATGCTGAACATGGACTCGAAAGTGCATTGCACTTATGTCGAGACGATGCTTGCCGTTGGGATTGATGGCTGTAATCAGATCCGAGAGATCTTGGAGGGAGTCATCAAAGGGTCCAATAAGTTACAATAGCCATGTGTAGGTGATCTTGATGTCTTTCATGTGAATCTTTCTGTGTCTATCAAAAAGCATGATGTCTATTTATACCCAAATGGTGCACTTTCGAGGTGTTGGGGGCGTGTTTGGTTGGTTTCCACATAGGATTTCTCTTCGTTGGCTCATTTATCTTACAAAAAAACCACAAAACAAATCTAGAAAATCCTTTTTCGACCTTTTTAATCTCGATATGACATGATGAGTAAGAAGAACCCTGATGACCAGCCGCTAAAACGCTTAGCAGCAGAAAATGTGCTCAATTCCGCGCGCAACAGGGCCTTCTGATTGGCCAGTGCAGGGCCAGTATATGCGATGTTTATTCCCTTTTGTACTAAAAGTCACTGCAGCGTTGGCCCATTTTCTCATCTGCCCAAGACATCAATGAGGCCATTCGAGCAGGAAAGGCATCCTGTAACAAGGCGGATCCAATAGAAAGAAAATCCTGTCTTATGACAGTTCCGATACCCTTCCATAATGGCACTGCCCTGCCGTCTGATAAAGGACCCCATTCCTTTCTCTTCTCTTTTCTCTTTTGTTCTCTCTTCGTATTTCTAACCCTCAAGTCCAGTCCAGTTTATTTGTTCAGCGCTGCCGTGACTGGCTATCAAGTACTGTCCGCGAAAGTGACTGATTACTTCAGTCTCAAAGTCTTCTCCTTCACAAACTCCCACACTGGAACAGTATAAACCAACATGGTAGCCCACGGTGACATGATGATGGACATGACCATGGCCACAGCAACATCCACAGGAGCCATGAGCTCGAGTACTGCATCACACTCGATGGACATGGGAGGTATGCACGGCGGCTCAAACAGCTGCAAGATCTCAGTACGTAACTCTCCACCCAATTCCCTAACCAGAACCCCAAAACCACACAAACAGCCAAGAGAAACTAACAAAGAAACCCAGATGTTATGGAACTGGACCGTCAAAGACGCCTGTAAGGACTACTCCTCCAAGACGAAAAAGAAGCCCTAACCACCAAACAAAACCATCAAACTTCAATTTAAAAAAAA